ACGGATGTGATTCCTGCTGACTTGGGCAAGAGTCACACCGTGGAGACATTGCTCAGCTTCTCAAGAGTTTAGAAAGGAGCCCTCATCAAGAGCGAGTGGGAAGAAGGGGTCACCTACTCAGGACGGAGCCAAAGAGTGGCAGATGGGGGAAGACACAGGGGCAAGGGAGGGTGTGCTCCTGGGGGGACAATACCCATGGCTTCTGGTCTCCCTTTTTTTTTTCTTTGCACATATGCACACTGCTTTTTGATTTCTTTTTTTTTTTAATATATTTTTAAAGATTTTATTTATTTATTTGACAGACAGAGATCATAAGTAGGCAGAAAGGCAGGCAGAGAGAGGAAGGGAAGCAGGCTCCCCGCTGAGCAGAGAGCCCAATGTGGGACTCGATCCCAGGACTCTGGGATCATGACCTGAACTGAAGGCAGAGGCTTTAACCCACTGAACCACCCATGCACCCCACTGCTTTTTTATTTCTAAGGGCAACCACAGTTTGGTTTCATTCCTCCCATACACATTCTTTTTTTTTTTTTTTTTTTTTTGAGAGAGAGAGAGAGAGAGAGTGAGCACGAGCAGTGGGAGGGGTGGAGGGTGAGAGAGAGAACTCCAAGAAACTCCCTGCTGAGTGTGAGCCCGACACGGGGCTCAATCCCACAGCCCCAAGATCATGACCTGAGCAGAAACCAAGAGTCAGACGTTCAACTGACTGAGCCACACAGCAGCCTCTCTCTTTTTTTTTTTTTTAAAGATTTTATTTATTTATTTGACAGACAGAGATCACAAGTAGGCAGAGAGGCAGGTGGGGGTGGGGAGGAGGAAGCAGGCTTCCTGCTGAGCAGAGAGCCCGATGCGGGGCTCGATCCCAGGACCCTGAGATCATGACCTGAGCCGACGGCAGAGGCTTTAACCCACTGAGCCACCCAGGCACCCCTCACTTTCACTTTCTATGTACAAGCAAATATATGTGTATCTATGTCTGAAAAAAAAACGCTTGTGTGGCATCATAATACCCAGTCTTTGCCTTTCTCAATTCATGATGCATCTTGGTTCTTCTTCCCTGTCTGCTCTATCTCCTTTTTTGTGACCACATAGCCTCCCCGCACAAGCCTGCACCGTGACTTAGCTAGCTTCTGCCGGTGGCATTCAGCATTTTCCCCGTTCTAAATAATCAACAGTGAAAATCCTTGAATACATGCTCTTGGGCACCTGTGTGAGTTCCACATGGTGACCTGTTCCTCCCGGTCAGTTTCCAGCTTCACTTCCTGAGAGAAGGGAGGTCAGTCACCAAGCAGAGACTGTCTAATACTTCAAGTTAGTTACTTAGTTACTTAGTTACTCAGCCAGAGCGAATAGAAATGTTTGCCAGTAGAAGGCTCAGAGCAACATCCTCGCCTCTTAGAATCCAGACCCCCAGAAACGGTCAGGCTAACGTGCCAAGTGACTCATGCTCAGACGACACTGGGCCATTGACGAGGCCCGCAGCCACATCCTGTCTCACCTGACTCTCCTATCAGTCCTGCAAAGGAGGTATCATCGGCATCACTGTTTTTACAGAGGATTTGGAAACTGAGGCTCAGAGAGGATGAGACATCTATCCGGGGTCACACAGCTCACGTAAGCAGCAGAGGACTCAGAAAGGAGAGACTGACCGGAAGAAATCCTGCCTTCTTTCTAAACCCAGGCTGTATCATGGTGCCTCTTGGAGAAGAGACATAGGGTGGACGCTTAGCTGAGAAGGTAGGTGATGCAAACATCTGTCTACAGGCTGAGTTTGCCAGCCCTGCGGGTTTCCTAGAGCTCCTGGGACCAATGACCATAAACTTCAGGGCTTAGAACAACGCAGATTCATCAGCTTACAGTTCTAGAGGTCAGAAGTCCAACCAGTCTCTGTCTCAGGAGGCTTAAACTAAGGAGTCAGCAAAGCTATGCTCCTTCTGGAAGACCTAGGGGAGAATCCATCAGTGACCTTTTCCAGGTTCTAGGGGCTCCCCCCGATGTTCAGCTCGTGGCCCCTTCCAGGAACCACATCTCTCTGCCCTCTGCTTCCACCATCATAACTTTGTCTCTGACCCTCCTGCCTCCCTCTTAGAAGTATGCTGGATCATCCACGATGATTCAGGATGACTGCCCCATCCCAAGGGCCTTCCCTGAAACGCATCTTCAAAGTCCCTTTTACCATGTCACGTAACACCTTCACCAGGTCTGGGGATTAGAATATAAACATCTTTTGGCAGTCATTATTCTGCCTATCTCGTGCGGTTCCTGGCATAGTGGTTAAGAGCAAGCACATACGTCAGGTCAAATCCTGGCCCTACCATCTTCTGGCAGATGGAAGTGTGTAATTTCTCTGAGTCTCAGTTAGCCCGACCTGAAACACTGAAATAATAGAATTTTCCTTCCAAGGCTGTTGGGAAGATTAAACAAGATAATACAAAGTTTACAGAGCTCTTGAAATACCGTGCTCAGTAAATGGGAACTGTCATCTCCCCTGCTGCCTCTTATGGTAACGGGTAACAGAAATTCCACCATTTGAGATTTACTTCTTTGGCTCTTTCCCCAAGGACACAGACACATCTCGGGCCCTTGTGAGCTGACAGAGAAGTTGGCCGTTAAATGAAGTCAGGCTCCTCAATAGGACTTAGAGAACCAGGGAAGAATCAGAGAAACATAGCCAGGTAGAGGGAGAGGGAGAAACACACTGCCTCTGTCCGTTTCTAGTTTTGCCTGTGGCTCCACTTCGGATGGGAATTTCTCCAGCCTCTTCCCAGATTAGCCAGGGTGAGCCTGCCTAAAAGGAACACTCTGAAGATGATTTGCTGAGATAGACGAGACCTGCCCAGTTAGGCTTGTGGCAGAGCAGGGTGGATCTGGAGTTGGATCCTGGCATGGAAAAGTACTGAAGCCCTTTGCCTCCAGGTGGGAGCTAGAGCTGCTGTCTGAAATGATTATCCCCAGTCCGGGCCTCTCCGAAGTTGGTCTTGCAGAGTGAAATGAAAGCCAGATTCTGCGTCTTATCTGAGAGCTACATGACTGTTTCTCATCAACCATTTAGAGACTGGAAGGTTCCCAAATTCGGTGTCTAAACTTCGTGATGGAATATACACAGCTCTCCAACGTGAACTTGTGTAGCCACCTGCCTGCCAAACAGTTCTCCCCCTTCAATAAGATAATGTTACTCTTTGGGGCTTTCATTTAACCAACAAGTATTTATGAAGCACCTGCAGGGAGCCAGGAGAAGGGGTCCCTAACCTCAAGGAGAGCAGGAGGCAGACTAGTAAAGAATTATGTCACTGTGTAGAGTGAGATAAAAGTGACTTCCCTTCTTGAAAGAGAGGGAGAAGCAGGGAACCTTGTCTCGGGGGAGAGAGTAGATGCAGAGCGACAAGGAATTCTTCCAAAGATGGGACAGCACAGGCCCTGGAGCCAACCAACTGGGGTCTAATTGCTGATACTTCCCAGCTGTGTGACCTTGGGCAAATGATGACCTCACTTCCTGAAGCCTCGGCTTTCTCTTCTATAAAGTGGGTGTAGCCAAAGAACATCCCTGGGGTTTTTGTTTTATAAGGATTCAATGGGCTGGGAAGTGAGTAGCAACCTGATGATGGGTCCATTGCCAGGATGTGAGGAATAAGCTGTTATTGTTATATTCATGAAGACTCATCACTGTTTCCCTAAATGCTTTCCTCATCCCCAAATCACAGGTCAGCCCCAAATTCGCCTATTTGTGGACACCAAGTTAAAAAGCAACAGTGGGAGGAAACACCCACATGGGATGACATGGGTATACATACCTTTGGATGATGTGTACCCATGAACTTGGCAGTTCGGCAATGAACTTGACTGCGGTCCCACCAGGGTGTCTAATTTCTGTCCTGGACACAGCAGATTCCCAGTAGGAGGCGCCTTCTGTCCTCAGCTGGATTTTCTGACACCCGCCAGCCGCCTATTGGCTTTTCTCAGGATTTCAACTTCAAAGAACTGCAGCGGGGCGTGGCGGGGGGGGGGCGGTGGAGAAGGGGATCCCAGACTCGGCCTCTCTTGGAACTCAAAACAGTCTAAGATTGGGGGAGGCCGCGGGCTATTTTTCCCTCTAGGTTTAGAATTCAGGTTTTCTGTGGTCTGGCAGAGATGAGATTAGTTTGGGCGCCAGAGAGGCATGGTTCCAGGGCAAAACTCCGGGGTCGGGGGGGCACTGGTAGAGCCGCCGTCGATGAGAGGCACCCTCACCAGTTCGTCTTTATCCTCCAGAGCCAGGCCTCAGGCAGTAGTTCTGGGGCTCTAAGCAGAGGTGGGCCACCCCCCTGCAACTTGGCGGTCAGGACGACAGCTGGTGTTTCTTTGGGAAAGTTCTCCGGAAAGCTGGGAATGAAAGCACCCAGTAGGCAGGATTCTCTGGACAGGGCGTCCGCATCCCGAGGCGCGCGGGCCCCCGAAATGGGCTCCACCCGGGCGGTACGACCGGGAATCCACAGGGGGCGCTCAGGGGACCGGGGAGGGACCGAGGGGTGGGGGTGGGGCGCCCGGCTGAGGGCAGGAGCAGACTCGCTTAAAAAAAAAAAAAAAAAAAAAAAAAACCTGCTTCCTCCTTTCCTACCTCCACCCATCAGTCACCTCGCAAACCACCAGCCCTGGGCGGTGCAGGCGGGTCCCAGCGCCCCAAACGCGCCCAAGGGTGAGGGGGGAGGCGGTGGCCTCCCCAGGAAGTGGGGTGAGAGGCCGGCGCACCGCTCCGCCAGGTGAGCGCACCGCCAGGTAAAGGCGCGGCAGCTGTGTCCGCAGTGCTGTACCTGCACACTCGCGCCAGAGTTGAGGTATGGGGAGGGAGGGACGGTCTCCCAGCTCAACTTAACATTTAAGTAACCTGGACTCCTGGGCCGAGTCGCCGTCCCCTATTCCACCGCCACATCCAACTCCGCGGCCCGGAGGTGGGGATGTCTCGGCTCTGTTCCATTCCCCCATCCCTGCTTAGCCAACTCGGAGTGGCGGGGGTCGGGCGAGGGCTTGGCCCAGCATCCCCCCACCCGCTAATCCGACAAGAGAGAGCGGGTTCCTTCCGTCCGCAGCTCGGGTCCGCGCCCCAGTCCTGGGGGTGGCGCTGAGCTCGCCGAGGGAGGGTCGACTGGTGGGCGGCGCCTCTCCGGGCTGGAGGCCGCTCCTGGCCGGCGCCGCCCTCTGTCTCTCGCCATCCCTCCCTCCTGCACGCCGGCGCTCCGAGCCAGAGCTTCCTGCGTCCCCATCCCGGTCCCAGAGCGGGCGGTGAGCCTTCTCCGCCGCCGCCTCCTTCGACCGAGACCCCCACCCCGAACCTCCGGCCCTGGGATCACAGCGCCCCGAAGGAGGCAGCCCGGGGTGGGGGGGTGGGGTACCGGGTCGTGGAGTCCCCGGTCCCCGGCCGCCCGACCGTGACGGAGCTGGACCCGCAGCCGCCCGGGTGAGTCTGCGCCGCCGCGCCCTCCGCCCCGCGGCGTCCCGCGGAGTGACTGTTGGCAGGGCGGGGGAGGGAGTCGAGGGCTGTCGGGGTCTGTTTGTCCGCCCGTCTGGGAGCTTCCTGTCCCGGGTCCGCCGCCGGGAGGACTCTGAACCCGCACCCACTAGAGCCGCGCCCCGCCAGTGCGGGACACCCCGCCTCCACGGCAGCGCGCTGACCTCGGCGCGGGGAAGGCAGCCAGTCTCCGGGGCCCTCTGTTGGCGAGGTCAGGTGCCATTCGCCAGGCGGGTTTCGAACCCTTGGCCTCGAGCGAGAGGCACCTTCCACCCGTGCCTGGAGCAGAACTTCCCAGTAAGTCCCCGGAAACCACCCTGGCGCTGCCCAGTCGATCCCTCGTCCCCCAACCCTAACTCTTTTCTGGAAACCGAGGCTTTGGGGAATTTAGATTCGAGTGTATGTTTAACGTGCCAGAGGCAAAAAGAAAACAACAAACAAACAAAAAACGGTAAGAAATCGGGCGTGAGCAAAGTAGGGAGACACAGTTTCTTCCCTGTGAAATAGGCGTGATAACCGCCTGGGATGAGGTGGGGCGCTCGTGCCGAGCCCATCGCCAGAGCTTGAAATCCGTTTCAGATCTCCTGTCTGCGTCCCAATGGGAGGCGTGTGGCCTGGGAGTGCCAAATTGCAAGGGATGGTCACTTACAGAAAGTAAGTTTTCCTAACCAGGGCGTGGGGGAAACAGGAAACCTGGATGTCCGTACGGTTCCCCAGCCCTGCCTGGGCCCTCCCTGGCCGGTAGCAGCTTGTGTGGCCCGGGCCAGATCCCTGCTAGCAGTGCGGGTGGTTGGGGAGCCGGGAACTCCCGCACAGCTGGAGCGCAGCGGGCGGAGCCTGGGTGGGCGGGGCCGGAGCCCTAGGGGCTGGAGAGGGGTTTCCCTCTGGTGCTGGCTTTTGGCTTTTGATCGACGTGGTGGTGGTCTTCGAGTATGGCTTCTCTAGTGGAAGATCGCCTCTGGGACCTGTGAGCGGCTTTCACACTTTGGAGACTTGTCACACAAGGATCTTGTCCTAAGTTAATAGGAACGAATGGAATTGGGAAGGAGCCCCTTTCCCTCCACATGCTTCCCTCCGCAGCTTGCCAGAGGTACTGCCCAGACTGGGACAAAAGGCAAAAGAGAGGGAGGGGAGGAGGCTGGTGGCGCATCTGTTCTCGGGGTGGTTGGATGATTAGGGCCTCCTGGGCATCAAGCAGAGCCAGGCCTGCCCCAGGGATACAGGGCCTTAGGACCTCAAGAGCTCCCAGCCTCTTGCATGGTCTAGGACAAGTGTTGCTCAGAGGTGGTGATACAGTCAGGCCCCAGCACTGGCTGGCTTCGTGACCCGCCTCACTGAGCCTCCAGTTTCTTCCTCTGTAGGATGGGAGTGATAATCTCGGTGGGACTTTCATGCCTAGCAGGAAGCTCTGTTACAGGGCTTCGGGGAGAACAGGAGAGAGAAGATAACTCAGGCTGAGGTGTGCCAGGAGATCCCGCCAGGAAAAGGATATTGGAATATGCAGCAGTGTATTGGAGCCCCTCGTGGAGGGGGAGGAAGGGTGTCTGGGCTGATGGAACAGCACAAGCAAAGGCACGGAGGTACAAAGGTACACAACCCGGAGTGTGGTGGGCCTGGCAGGGAGTGTGCTCAGGCAGTGGCAGATGGGTTTGTGGGAAGGTGGGGAAAGTAAAGGAAATGGAGGGTCTGGAATGGGGGCTGGTCACGTGGGACTTTATCATGTGGATGTCTGGGAGCCATTCAACAGATGTTGACTGAGTGCCTTCCAAGGGCCTGGCACTGTTCTAGGTGCTCAGGATGGATCATTGAACAAGAAAGACAAAGACACAGATTCCATTCAAGTTCTTTAAGGAGGGGAGTCATTTGATCCTGTTGGTATGTGAGGAAGATAATTCTGTCTATGTGGACGTCAGATGAGACTTCGGGGAAGGCTGCTGGGAGAGAGGAGGCTGGTCGGCGGGCCGGTGGCAGTGGGAATGAAATGGCGGGGGGAGGCTGGAGTGGAGCCCCGTGCAGGAGGCAGAGATTACCATGTGGTCTTCACACGTGACCATTGCTCAAGGGTGAGGTTTGTGGATTTGGTGTGAGGCCCAAACTGCCAGCCTGTCTTCCGACAGAGAGCGCGGGCAAATGCCTGGGAACTTGGCTGGGCCCAAGCCCCTCCAGCTCTGGCTTTCCTGCTCCCTGACTCCAGAAGGCACAAAACCTAGGAGTTTCTGTGTGAGGAATGGCAAAGCTGGACACAGAGCCAGCAGCCCATCTCCTGGGCAACCTGCCTCCTTTAGGGCTCCTGTTTTCCTGGGTCACCATTCTGGTAAATGTTCTCTCCCTCCGTGGGGTTGGCAGTAAACCCCTCAGGACCCTAGGGCTGGAAGAGGGTCTTTGGCTCTGGGCTTCTCTTTTCCCCGTTCCAAATTAAGGTGGAATTCAAGGGACTGAGCAGAGTCCGAAGTGCTGGGAAAGTTCCAGAAGCTCAGAAGTCTTCTGTTGGGGATGTGGCAAGGGGTCTGCTTCTGGCTCCTGGCTTTTGCTTTCACTTTGTTTGGAAGCTTGGATGGGCCTTTCTTGCAACTGATAGCTCTCTAAGACTATTCTCTGTGTTGGAAGTCTCCCTTTGCTTGGAAGGAGACCCCCCTCTGTCTTTCGCCAGCCACAGGAGGACCCCAGAATGTCTTGGGTGGAGGGGACCACTCTCATTTGACAAATAAAACTCAGATAGGGGAAGAGCACACAGCAAGTCAGCAGCAGAACTGGGACTGGCCCCCCGTCCCCGACTGCTCTGTGTTCTCCCAGGAGACCTGGCCACATTCAGGTCAGGGACTCGTTTTAGAACCCAGTTTAGTACAGGTTTGGTGGTTTCTCAGGATCTCTGCCCTGCTGGCCGCTTCATAGAGTCTTGTTTCTCCCCAGCCTGGACAGGTGGCCCAGCTTAGCCTGGCAACATTGTTCTTCTCCCCTTGGATTGAGCCCTTGGTACACCGGCTGCCTCTCCGGGGAGCTCTGGCTCCCCAAAGAAACAGGTTTTCCCTGCTTCACGCCAGACTGCCCAAGGCACTCGCCAGAGGCAGCCCCCTGAGAGTCTCTGCGGAGCTCTCCCCCACTAGCTGTGGCTCAAGACTGATTCTAGACTCCTCCCTCCCCTCCGCCCCAACCCTTACCTCCCGAGGCTGGTTGGCCCTGCCTTCTATCCAGTGTTGTTTACTTGGGCTAAGCTGCCAACACTCTCTTATTCTCTCTTGCCCTAGATTAATCAGACCTAGCAGCCGTTAAAACTTGAACGCTGGTCTTTTCAGCTCTTCGAGTTTCGGAACCAGAGGGAAACTTAGCCATCAAAATATCTAATCTGCTTATTTTACAAATGGGGAAACCGAGGCTCAGGGAAGGGAAAGCACTCGTCTGAGTTCAGAGCTAGGACTAGACCCCATTTTCTGATTTCAGGGGTGGTTCTTGAAAATAAACCAAAACAGGGTGCCTAGGTGGCTCAGTGGGTTAAGCCGCTGCCTTCGGCTCAGGTCATGATCCCAGGGTCCTGGGATCAAGTCCCGCATCGGGCTCTCTGCTCAGCGGGGAGCCTGCTTCCCTTCCTCTCTCTCTGCCTACTTGTGATCTCTGTCTGTCAAATAAATAAATAAAATCTTTAAAAAAAAAAAAAGAAAAAAGAAAATAAACCAAAACAATAAAACCAGAGGAGAGCCCCTCAGAACCCTCTTTCCACACACCCCCTGGCAAGTGCTGAAGGACCCGGAAGATGAGGGGTGCACGTCAAGGCGTATATATCCTGACATTTTCAGATCCTGTCTGATCAGACTGGTATGAATGCCAGGGAGAAAGCTAGTGATTAACCAACCTTGTCTGCTGTTCTTCTAAGCATACTTGACAATGCACCTGGGAATGGGTGGGTGTTTAATGTTTTCACCCCCGATTACAAAGGCAGTACCTGCTCGATGTAGAAAACCTGGGAGGAACCCATCACAATATGCTAGCCACCACTGCTGATAGTTAGGTGTTTAAGGCAGATTTTTTGTTTGCTTGCTTGCTCTGCTGCTGTTTAATATCTGGTTCATCGTCATAACGTGTATTTTCCCTTGTGTGACAGCGCACTGGTTCTAACCTGTCAATCTCATGCGCTTGTGCCCTCTGATGGCTGGAAGGTTCTCAGGAAGCCAGCTTTCTGTGGCTATGTCAGAACACTCCAGCAACCAAAAATCCTAGCACGCTATGCAGATTATGGACTGAGTGGGGCTTCAGGGGGCCATGTCTCTGCACCGCCATGGTGTTTGGGAAAGGGCTGTGTTTACTATCTGAAGCAAAGATCGATTCTCAGTGAGCCTCTTAGAAACGGAGGAGGTTAGCCGTCTCCGTGAGATGGGTGTGATTGAAAGAGTATAGGAGGGAAAGAGAAGTCTTCGTTTCCTCTGATTGTTTGCTGGTTGGTTTTTAACCCAGCCAAGTGCTCCCACTCCCCCTTACCACCCCTTGTCCTGAATCCCCCCAGGATTAGGCACTGGGATGGCAAGTATGGATCCCTAGGAAAATCAGTAATGTACTTGGCTTGCTCGTCTCCGAGTCTTGCCTCTTGGACTGTGAGTATTTCAGTGACAAGCCTGAGCAGAGAATTTGCTGGCTACTCAGGAAACCCAGGTTGGTAACTTCACCTTTGGGACAGGGTCTCCTGGCGTCATCTCTCACGTTCTAACAGTATCACAGCTTCATTAAGGCCATATAAGTTGTCAATACTCGAGGCGATCTCAGAGGATTCCTTAGGCCAATGTCTACAGACTGTGGGCAGCAACTTAGTGGGTTTTAAAATCAGTGAAGTAGTTTTCCACTGGCTTTTAAAAAGTGATGTAGAAGAAAGCAGACTAGAGACAAAATGCATCTCCTGTCGTGAGAAGCATCCTTTAGTAAAACTTTCATCTCAATTACCTCTATATCTCTCTATGCACTGA